CAGAAAATAATATTCTTAAGTTCTCGAAATTGACAATCATGGAAGTAGGATATGGTTTAATATGAATAATTATTATTATTGAAGATGACAAAAAGATGCAAGGAAACAGAGGTCTACTTGTTTATATAAATCCTCACAATTTACTAAAAAAGAAAAATTGTCTGACACTAAGGATCTTCTTACTCATGTAGCATGCTTAATATGATCATCCCTAATATAATTCTGACAGATTAATTCAGAAACTGTTTGAATCCTTTAAAGCTGCTTTAAATTTTGTTATTTAGATATAAATTTGGATTGTCATAAAGAATCACCTTTCTTGTAGAGGTGTGTTTAGAATAAACAAATTGTATGATAAAATATATTTTATCAATTTCTTAGTTTCAAAATTGAATTTTGATTACACTTCCATTCGACACTACCTTAGTAATAGAAAAAATATCTGCTAATTTTTTTTTTATCAAAGTCTTTGTCGAAAATCTCAAAAAATTAAATATATAATAATAATTAATTTGTAAACGTTGACATTTTAAAATGGAACTTCAAGAATAAATAACGATCACGGTTAGTCAATCTAACGAGATTTTCACTAAACCAAATCAAGAAACATAAGGAAATTACTAATTTTATTTGATAACAAAATGTTCCCACTAATGTGCAATAAAATGGGAAATGGACTTAAAATGGGTCCCACGGAATTTTTGTCTCAAAATAATTCCCCATATACAGAAAGATTTCAACATAAATTCATCAGAATACTCACAGTGCCCGGCCCCACCGTGCATTTAAAAAAATAAAAATGCACGGCCCCACCGTGTGTGAGTGTCATGTTGATTTTGCTTCTGTAAGCAAAACTAAAATCTTCATCCCATTCCATATATCCAATTTGGGTTTTTATGGGTTACATTTTATCTCCCAAACAAACAACAATATAAAAAGACAAAACCACCCTATTGAGAGAGAGAGAGAGAGAGAGAGAGAGAGATTTAATCTATATTATTTTGTGGATAAAATAAAGGAAGAGTTAAAGACTGAAGACAGGGAATCACTTTATTATGTCTAATTATATACTAAATACACTTAGAATATTACGTACGTACGTACATACACGTGGATGAGTCCTGTTTATTTGTTTCTTTTTCCTCGCATGCCATGTGAATAAAAGAGAATTAATGGGCCCTCGTGATTTTAACCGAAATATATGGGCCCACTAGGTTAAAAACGGGCTTATCTTGCTCGTGACTCAACGGCGGGCTGCTCAGCTCCTTCACGGCCCACCATTTACTGCACGAGTTTGCATTAATTACCCATTTACATTCTTGGTAAAATAAAATTAAATATTTTTCGTTTTTTACAATTTACCGTTCTAATTTTTAAACTAGAAGGTTCTTGAAACATGAAAATATTTTTGGAATTCGTTTGGTCCGTAAGAATGTTGAATAATGTAAAGAGTAAAAATTATATTAAATACAATTATATATAAATACAAAGTAGTATATAAACAAACGTAAAACTTTAGCTGCTTGTCAAAATGAAAGAGTAATGCTATTTATTATCATGATGATGGAATATCGTTGATGTGGTAATCCATTATCATTCACACATTTCTCCTAAAAATTGAATTGTCAAATCTCATTATTTTACATAGACTGTCACATCATTAATATTCTATCATTATAATGATAAATAACATTATTGAAATGGAAAAGTGGCATGGGTTGTGAAGTTGATATCATTTGATTGTTTACAATTTAACGACGACAATCAATAAATTTGTGATTCCTCTCATTCTGAGTTGGGACCTGCTTGTATTTTTTCATCTATTTTTATTGTCAGAGTCCACATAAGATGTTATTTATATGTACAATTTTAACTCTCGAGGGTCTCTCAATTTTTCTAAATTTTGAAATAGTTTTGATTAACTTTTTATTAGCAGAGTTTAAGAGTGTCTCTTTCGTACGTCAATATAATTTTTCTCGTCATGTGAAATTTGGCCGTGTAGTTCATAATAGTGATACCATCTCCCACGAATTAGTAAATATATACACACGCTTGCATACACAAATTAAGATGCATGTAAAGTGGAAACATATGATACACTCGTTCAAAATTGTATAATAATAATCATCATTATACATAGTACGGATTTTGGACTACGTATAACCTACGTATACGGGAGGACTTCCAAGGAAGAATTTGTCCTGAATTAAACCAAAGTTAGTGTAATAAAATTAATACCGTTGATTTAGATCATTGATTTGTCCTCCTCTCTAAAAGCCGTTTATTTTGCACAATGTAATGATAGCAAGATCATCATTATAACAAAAGTAAACTAAAATCATTTTCCCACTTCTGTAAACCATTATTCTTTTAGGGATTACCCAATTGATAATTCTTTGATTTGTTCACAGAAATACAACATAGAAATTTACGTGAATCTCTCTAAAAATAATGAAAAATCACGAAAATATTTCATTACATTAAAAATCCTTGTCAAGTCCACATCGTTGGATTACTCTTTGAATCTGGTTGAGATCGACGGCTTCACTTGATGCTCGATCGAACCTTCTCAATCTTTCTTCTCGAATCTTTTACCAAGTCCACATTAATTAAATCGAAAACATTTGTAGACAGTGAACCTCAATTCATGATTCAAATAGAGAGCCGACTAGTGAGGATAGGCTAGTTAATTTAGCTGAACCTTTCAGTACAAATTCAATTATTTCCCAAATTAGTCTCCCCCTACTAGACACTGTCTGTTTTTGGCCCACCAAATCATGAAAGCTGAAATTTCAATGTGGAATAAAACATCACCAATTATTCATTATGGATCTGATTTTCTGAGGAAATGCAAAAGAAACAGGGAAAAAAAAGGAAAAAAGAAAAGCCCAAAAACAAAAAGAAAAAGCAAAACCCGAAAAAGCAAACCAAAGAAAGCGATTTGAGAGAAACACATCTGACTTATATCTCTCTCTATACGTATAGAAAGAGAAAGAAACTATAGAGAGAGAACCTCTCTCTCTCTCTCTGTTATCTTGGTGATGGCGTGATTTACTTTTGCTTTTGTCGCAGACAGGAATCTTTGAAATTGAAAGCTCCTCAAACAAAGAAAATATATTACTTATTAATTTCATTATTGGCCCTCAATCTATTGCTGATTAGCAATATTAATGCTCAATTTTATCATATACTTGCATTATGTTGTCAACGTCCAAAGTCATCCAAATATCTATTATATTATCTGAGTTTTCTGAAGTTTTATTATGTTCTCCAAATTGGACCATTCATGGACATTCGAAGTTGGTTAAATTTTCACGTGATTTCATTCGTAACAACTGTACATTCATTTTAATGTCAATTAAATAACTATTTAAGGGGTGTTTGATATATTTTAAATAGTGATATGATGAAAAATAAGTGGTTAAAAAGTAAGGAAAATTTATTGATGTGATGAAAAATGTTATTTTATTGAAAAATATGTGATTGAAAATGATTTTTGAAAGAATGTGTGTCTAACAAAGACTAACTTTGACATATTTTCATGAGAACCATGTGATATTTGAGTAATAATATAGTTATTATGGCCTCCGGGCGTAGCTCAGTGGTGCAAATGACATGAGTGAGGTAGTCTTAGTCAGTTAGTTGAGCGGATAGTCGCAGTGTGAGAGTTCGATTCCTACCTCTTGTGAAATTGGACTTTTTGTGGGCACCAGTATGACAGCTCTTGTACCCTGACATGTTGAGACACATTCCACGATTTACCTAATCCACAGTGCTCTAGGGGCTTGGCGGTGGGGGACCCTCAAGGTTGGAGTTCAACCTTTAATAATATAGTTACTATGAAGGCATTTATGCATTTAATAAAGATTCGAACATTTTCTTTCATCGAAAATAAAAGATAGAGAGCGAACTTCGCTCTATATTAAGATAGAGACTAAAATGGTACTTGAAAAATAATACAGGGACCAAAGATGAAAATGTTACTATTTATAAACAAATATTACTCCAAGAAATTGTTCTGGTTTGAGCACTCTTTTGGGGTGTAAATTTACAGTTTTGGGTCTGTTTCGAAGTCCCTACTAATGCGGCAGATTGGGACAAAAATGACCAATCAAGACAATTATATCTTAGAACTTTGTACCCATGTGATAAAGAAATTCTATTAAAGATAATCATTTTGTGTTCATACAATCAAATGGTACGTTTTAACTTTTATTTTTCATTAATTCTATGTAATTCCGTACAAATTAATTTATCGAACAAGTCATTAATTTTTTTTTTTTGCTGTAAAAAATGATAAAATAAAGTTAAAATTGACCGCATAAATATCTTATTTTATTACTTCATTAATATAATTGGCATATCGAATAAAATACAAATAATATTTGTATTTAAAGGCCAGTCATTTGTCGCTTATAATTTATTATAGAATATATACTTTTCGTATCTAATTAAAAAATTAAAATATCGAATAGCTCATTGATTCCAAATAATGTGTAATCTTCTGTTCGTTACAAATTTTGCGACTAAAAGACTAGAAGAAAAAAGGAAAAAAAAAATCCGTCATCTTGCATTTAGTTTTGATAGTCATAGTCGAAGTAATTTGCTGAATAATAATTTATAATTTAGTTGGGTCAATAATTAGCACCGTTTGTAAATTAAATACCATTTAGGAATAAGCAATGAATTCACATGAAGGGTAAAACAGTAATTTCAACTCCAACGGTAAGAGAATTTGTAGAGAGAGAGAGAGTTTTCCTTAAATTTCTTTTTATTTCCCCAGTACTTTCCTCTTCCTTCCTCTTTCTGCGTTTCATTTTTCTTCGCTGTCCGTTTGAGTACTCGAAGTAAAGCTCCTCTCTCTATTTCTCTTTGTGTAACATACTCTTGCACAGTTATAGAGACTTTTAGGCGTCTTTAGTGTTTCTGTGTGTGTGAAATGCGAGATGAAGTGAAATGAGCAGCTGGGGGTTGAGTGTAAACAACCAGCTTCAACGGTTATGAATCCTACGGCTGTAGACCCGACAGCGCCGCCGCCGCAGCCTCCACAGCCACCGCGCTCCTCATTCAGTTGCGACCGCCACCCAGATGAGCAATTTACTGGGTTTTGCCCTTCCTGCCTCTGCGAACGCCTCACCACCTTAGATCAATCCTCTTCCAATACGCCCTCCTCCTCTCGCCGCCCCTCGTCCGCCACCGCCGCCGCCATCAAATCTCTGTTTTCGTCTTCCTCCTCCAACAAACCGCCGCCAGCACCTAAAACTACCAGCTCCAAATCCACCTCGTTTTTTCCTGAGCTCCGGCGAACGAAATCTTTCTCCGCCTCTAAAAATGAAGCTTTAGGCCTCTTTTTTGAGCCCCAGAGAAAATCTTGTGACGTTAGGGTTCGTAACACTCTCGGTTCACTCTTTACTATTGACGACGTTAATAAAACCACTGATAAAGCCTCTTCTTCTTCCCAAAACCACACACAATATTCTCAGAACAGCAAGCAATGCGAGTCTTTTGTTGCCAATAAACCCGTTCTCGAAGAGCCCGAAAATGGTGATGATGATGAGTTTATAGAACCCGAAAACATAGAAGATTTTGCTTCTGCTGTTAATGCTGATGAGGACAATGACGATGACGATGGTGATGAAATTATTCCAGTTCCAGATACCCATTTGGAGAATTTTGGAATATCCCTTGAAATAGAGCCGAATAATTCCGAAATTGTAGAAGAAGAAGTAGCAAATGTTAACAATTTGAAGCCAATGAAGGATCATATAGATCTCGATACACAGGTCAAGAAGAGTTCAGGAGGGGGGTTTTGGGCTGCGGCTTCAGTTTTTAGTAAGAAATGGCAAAACTGGAGGCGCAAGCAGAAGATGAAGAAGCAGAACGATGGCGAAAACTCGGGTACCTTGCCGGTGGAGAAACCGATTTCCAGGCGTTACAGAGAGACTCAATCTGAGATTGCTGATTACGGGTTTGGGAGAAGGTCTTGTGATACTGATCCAAGGTTTTCGCTCGATGCTGGGACCGGGAGAATCAGCTTTGATGATCCGAGGTACTCTTTCGAAGAGCCCCGGGCTTCATGGGATGGGTACTTGATCGGGAGGAGTTTTCCGAGGATGCCACCTATGGTTTCTGTTATGGAGGATGCTCCAGCTGTCAATGTATCACGGTCTGATATGCAGATTCCGGTAGAGGAGCCAACGGTGATGACTGTGAATGGTGTTAATAAGGACGAGGGTGTGCCTGGAGGATCGGCACAAACTCGGGAATACTATTCAGATTCTTCCTCGAGGAGGAGGAAGAGTCTTGATAGGTCTAGTTCCATCAGGAAGACCGCGGCTGCTGTGGTGGCGGAGATTGATGAGTTGAAGGCAGTTTCTAATGCTAAGGTTTCTCCAACGACAGCGGATTATTATCATGGGGCTAAGGTGTTGGTAGGAGAGCGAGATTCGAGGGACTCAACCTCGAATTCTTTGAGGAACTCGAATTCAAATTCTTTGAGGGATGAATGCTCTGAGGCTCTTGAGTTGGATAATGGGTTTAGGAGTAATGGTTCGGTGTTAGGGAATGGGGAGCGAAAGGAGTCAAAGAAGTCTAGGAGCTGGAGTTGGAAAATATGGGGTTTTATACACCGGCGTGGTGGTGGTAACAAAGATGAGGATGAGGGTAGGTATAGTAGAATAAATGGGGTTGAGAGGTCGTTATCAGAGTCTTGGCAGGAGTTGAGGAACGAACGGAACACTGATGTCAGAGGAGGATTCAATAGGAATGTATTTCGGAGCAATAGTAGTGTGAGCTGGAGGAATTCGAGTCATATTGGGGGATCATTTGGGAGTACGAGGAAACCGGTTGTTGACATGAATGGGAACGGGAAGAAGAAAAGGGACGAGTTCGTGTTAGAGAGGAATCGAAGTGCTAGATACTCGCCTAACCATTTCGATAATGGGCTTCTACGATTCTACCTAACGCCTATGAGGGGCAGCCGGAGGGGCGGCGGACAAGGGAAAATAAAGCCAAATAGTTCTCATTCAATTGCAAGAAGCGTCCTTCGGCTGTATTGAGATCCAAGGTCTTGAAGCTGTTATCTTGATTTTGAAGTTAATTTTGCTGCATTTGTTGTGCAAACATGCTCTTTGGAATCTTGATATTTGGTCAAATTATCTTACAGTGCATTGATCTGGATGCTATTCTAATTATCTTAATAATGAAAAAATACCATGTTTCGTTGTGTCCACTCCTATATTTGGCAATCCTTTATACACTGTGTTATTCGTTATGACAATCTGATGTGGTATTTGCATGTTCCTGCATATGATGCACGAGCTGATTTGTTCTATTTTTATCCTACAATTTTGTTTGCTTCTTGTGCTTGATACGACCATGCAAGCACATAGTTTTTACTGGTCTACGTTTGGTTTTTTAACTCGTCACTGATTAAGTGGATATCAACTTTTCTCGTTTCTTGGTCCTACTTTAATATTAATCTGCTTTTGTGATTTGATGTTCACAGAGGCGTAATTTTCGGATCAAAACATGAATAGAACGTGAGTATAGTGAAGGCATAATCAGGACCCAGTTGGAGTTGAGAACTAATTGAACCAGCTGAAGTGTTATGTACAACTAAAATTTTGCTGATTACGGTTTTTGTTTCCATTGTAAGCGACAATTTTGTCGATGCAATTGTCTAAACCAGGTCGATCTGTTGAAATTTGTGCTTAGGGCATCTCGATAACTTAGGGTGCTACTTTTAGTAATGATTGGTGCACAGGTTGGTGTAGGAGAAGCTCATTGTTAGTCCTATTCACTGAAACAAACAAAACATAGTGGATCACCCACTAAAAAAGGAAAAAAATGCAGTGTGTAATGGACAAATTTATCTCAATTTTCTTGGTAGAAAAGGAAATTGCACCTATAGAAACCATAATATTTATCTGTATGCACGCGTGTGCATTCCCACATGTACCAATATCTGCATGTACTATCTTAATGTGTACCTTTCTATCCAGATATGGCCATTCAACCTTCAAGATGATCTGCAATTCTTATACCCTCTTGGTAGCGACTTGAAGATTGAGGTAGGTTGGGGTTTTCCGAATGTCTGGGACTCGGGTTTCCCAGGTCAGTGGAGGGTAGCTGCGGAAAGATTTCCCTGTTGAACGAAGATGAATGCAAGTTAAGTTGAATACTGTGGAATCAATATAGCTCTCATTGTGGGCATAGGCGTATAATTTGCCGAGGTTGATTTCTTATTATTTTCTTCAATATCCCAGTTTCAGTTCTACAAGATGTAGTGATTGTTCATGGGAACGCCTGCGTCCCAGAAATATGCATGTCTGAAAGACTTGTGAATTAGAATGAGTAGCAGTCACTTAAGACAGTCATATTTCTTTAATTGGTGGGTATTTATCTGTTATAGTAGTTGGTTAAATCATAAATGATATATTGACAGATTTGTTGAAATGGAAAGTTCGTCTTTTTTTTCATTGTTTATGTATGCTTAAACTCGAAGACAGGTCGAATTGGACAGTGATCTGTACTCCGACTATGCAAAACATACACACCGTTTCCGATATTATTTTGTCGCGGATTAAGCTCTAATCTTAGCTCTTTTGAGAGCAATAATAAACAGATTAGCTATCGGGAAAATGAGCTGAGTACACACCAGTATACAAAATGATAAGCTCTACTCAACCTCACATTCCGGGAGCCACCACTAGTTTTATTAGTATTAAAAAAGGACAAAGACATTTTGGAAAAGTAACAAAAGTGGTGGCTGCAGCAAACTATATGAAAATCAATAAGAATAAAAGTAATTAGCAGCCTTGGTTCTTTTGAGTTCACATTTTGATCGAGTTATAGATGACATTAAAGTCAAAAAAGTTGCAAGAAAAAATCCCAACATGCTTTTGTTCAAGTGGATAAAAAAGAAGATTTGCAAAGAAAAATAGACAGATAGGCTCGTAATCCGATGCCATATCAGTTCCCGTAATTAGCCTCGCAAAATTAAAAATAATGTTGTGAAAAAAGAAATTCTTCGACCAAAATTGCGAGTACGAACATCATATATTACCTATAAACTTCTTGCTTTTAATTGATGGCATGCCATTATATAAGTGTTTTAACTTAAGCCCCTCCAGGCTCCGCCCGAACAGTACTTGAGGTGGCTGCCTCGGTGTTCCTAAAAACATGAAGTTCCCTTTTATAAATTGAAAAAAAAAAAAAAAAATGCATCCTCAAGCTAATTATTTGTGGTGTGTAAACTCCTTGATCACGTCTCCAGGCTGTTCTTTAGCTGCAATTCCTCTCCTGATTTGGAATCTGCCGGTGTTATTGTATCTTTGTGGTTGTGATTGGTTCACCCAGAACACTAGAACACATAATCTCTTTGGGTACAATTAAGATTCCTCAAGTTATTTTTGTTTTCTCATAATCTCAATTGGCATCAAGTTGGAATAAAAGTTGTTTTTGCTAAAGAGCTAACGTCAGTCGAGAAATATAATAGCCCTAGTTCCATCAATCGACAACAAAGTCTTATTACGACAAAATTATTTTTCAAGAAATATGAAGGTCAAGTTCTTTTCTCAGAAATGTTACAGGCAAAGATTACACCCTCGCACGAATATGTTTCAGTCTTGTATATGTAAACTGTGCAAATAAGAATTAACATCCATGGTAAAATAAATGTATCTACGAAGCAGAAAAACAAAATCATCAATATTGTTGACCTCGAAAAACGTGCCAACAGATGCGGGGTCCACTCAGGCCCAGTCAAGCACTATTCTAGCGTGTTCCTACTGGAGTAAAAAAACGGTAGCAAGGGGGAAATTGACGCGGGGGGGTGCTTTGAGGCGAGAGACAAAAATGTTCAAGTTCAGCCGGATGAAACAAAGGCGATCGCACTAACAATGATCACCGAACGGAAACCAAGCTAATCTATGTAGTAACAAACAGGAATATGTGGAAGAATAGATAAAATGTGTATAGAAGTTGCTATATTGTATGTTGAAATTTGCGTTCATTAAACTTGTAAAGAAGATCAAAAATATTCAACCAAGCGTTTCTTCAGAGTTCAATTGTATATTTCGAATATATGATTGTCAAAATTCCAATCAACAATCCAACTCCTTTTTAGTTACAAAAAGAACCCATTTATACAGCCTTGGCCGACATGGTGACCATTAGATCAGAACCACGTGGCCTCATCTCCCTAATTAAAGTTTCACATCACCGCCTATTCATGCAATTAATATATTGATAAGGGGTCATTCGTTCTATACAATAGGTTGATACACCGACAAACTTTATTACAAGTGTTGCATCAATCATTTCTACAAAATCTTCGAATCTATTCGAGAGGCAACGTTAGCTTCATGAGCTTTGGACGAGTTTGAGAGCCTTGGAGAGATCTTTGAAGTGGTTCTCTTAAGTGGAGAGATTCAACTCCTTTTTTGTTTCCTTAGGTAGTGTTTCATACTAAGTTGTAGTGCTTCGTCCTTAAGGTAGTGCCTCAATATGGATTTCAGTCTTGCAGTGCAAGGACTTCGATTTGTTTGATTTTTTCATATTTTGACCTCATGAGTCTTTGTTTGACTTTCTGCCAACGTGGTTTGCTACGTGGCACTTTTACTTTGAGCCTCAGAGGCGAGGCGTAACAAATACTTTCCCATGATTGCTCTCGGAACCATAAAAAAAAATCCGATACATGTTCTTTCGCATAGGTTGTATTGAAGACTAACCAAGATAAACGCCATTTGAAAGAAATCTGTAGAGAAAATGCAACTTAATGTGCCAAATCGTCCACCTTAGCCATGGACTTGATCAAACTATAACTGAGATTTTGATGTATTTCCTGTAAACCCAAAAAATTATTTGTGAGATACGCCAAGGGGAAAAAGCGCTAGAAAATAAGGCTAAATAACAAACCTTCTAATGAGACCATGGCTATGGTGTTAGATATTGTGACCTTTTAGTGACTAAGAAGCCACACGCAAATATCGAGTCTTTGCATGTTTAGAATTGCTGGTGATGGCATTTTTCCCTTTACTTCTCTTTTGCAAGCCCATGGAATTGAAGTCTACCTCGTCATCATCTGAATCAACTTCTTTTAGAGGTGACCTTGTTTGCCTGCTCAGGCGCTGCAGAATGACGACATTGAAATAGTAACTGATGATGGTTTCCTTAGACTTCGTTGGAAAGTACTTTGAAGCTTGTTTCAAAAAGCTCTTTCCATTAGGTAGTGGTTTCATCACCAACAATTCGAATTTTTGTTGTTCCTTCAATGTCCACGATTTTGAAACTTGTTCACCCATCTCATCGAACTTCCAACCAAAGAAAGCGGGGCCAAGTTCCCGTTGAAGTAGATGCTTTCTCTCAGGTATGTGTCGTCTAATGCAGTCAACAGATCCTAGTGTCATACAGCTACAAGAGGCAGGTCTCCCTTTTCCATTCATTCTCCCTCTGGTTTCCACAGGTCCATCTTTGATGGGCCAAAATTGGGTGCCCAACCACCTTGAATTCTGAAATATTTTCTTAACCATCCTGGGATTAAGAACGCCCTTCTCGACCGAGCCATTCCACTTGGGAACATCAGCCTGAAATCGAGGCCCAACTGGAACTACTTTTTGCCTTCTATCTGGCCTGTCCAGTGTTGGCGAGTCTGAAATGTGAATTGCAACGTAAAGTTTCGGTGACATTGGCTCATCGGGAGTCAGGTTTTCGGGGCTCAATGGATCTGAAACATTGACAGATTCATCAGAATCTACAACAGGAGTATCTTTACTGAGGGGATTTCAATCTACATCATCCAGTAAGGAAAATTTATATATCGCTGTTCCTTAGGCAATGTATCCTCATATGTCATTAAACTGCCAGAACTACGTGACTTACAAATTTTCTCATCAGAAGCCTCAGTAGAGTGAACTGAATCAAGCAAGCATGGTAAAGAAGAGGCATGGGATAACTTCCCTCGTCTCAGTTTCATGCCATTTTGGTTAGGTACCACATATCCAGGAGTAGATCTCAGCTCATATTTAACAAATTCCTGCAGTTATCGCTTTCTCTGTGGAAAAGAAGAAATGATAAATTGTGTTAATACCATGATGTAAGGTTTAAAAGAAAATAGAGTAAAAACAATAGCACTTTGGATTAAGAAAATTTAATTCGTTTTTTAGGAACGCGAAGCACTATAAAAGAAATAAAGGAACGGAATAATAACACTCAATCTCCCCAACGCACGTGAAAGCCGAAGAGACTTCTCTTTCACTGAACTTATTTGTGTTCTCCTTGTGCTGAAAGAAAGAATAGGAAATATAATGCTCTACAAGTTTGTTCTGAAAGATATACACGACAAATTGAGGTCACTTGGAAAGTCTCTATATGATAAAAGAGAGTTTAAAAATGTCACTTGGAGGAATCAATCTAAAGAGAACCCCAGCTTAGAGGTTTGTCTGTGAACCTGTTGATTGAGGGCAGGAATATCATTGAAGAATAATATCCATGCTCACTCTGTCATTATCCTCCACTAGCAATGGTGCCTTCCCCTTCTAATATGCAAAGACAGGAAAGAAACCAAAAGCAAAAAGACCACAAAACGTTCTGGGTTATATAACATTGGCCAAAAAGTTGAGACCAGTAATAAAAGGACCACAAAAGAAAAGACAAACATGCACAATCCTGAGCCTTAGCCTTAGCCTTAGCCTCAAGGCGAAAGCCTCAGTTAGTGAAGACATAAATCTTAACAAATGGTACTCAAGGTGGAAGGTTTGATGTGTTTAATGAAAGCCTCGTTCATCTTTTCAAAAAGACGGTCACAACTTTAAAAAATGATAAATTAATTAACCCTTTCAATTGATGTTTCTAAAGAGTTAATTTTTTTATAAGATTTCTCTTCGTTAACATAATTAAGATTATTCCGGACAACAAAACCAAGTCTCCGTTTTCGAAATTTATAATTTATTTATAAAATGGTCAAACTTCATTTTCAACCACACATTTCAATGGACCGACAAGTACCATCCACTTATCCCACTATTCATTTTTATCTATTTATAAATTAAACCATTTATAAATCTTTGCAAAGGGAGGCTAATTCTTTTGTAGAACATAAGATGAACCGGTTAAAGATGCACATACAACAATCATAACCCTACTATTATTTTTGTTTTTCAACTGGGCTCTCAAAAGCTAAAACAATAGCACTATATCATCATTAAGATTATTTTAGTGCAACACTTCTAATTCTTAGTAGCACAAAAAATGAACTGGTTAAAGATGCATATACAACTGCCATATCCCAATGATTCTTTTTGTTTTTCAACTGGCTAAAACAACAGCACTATATGTATTCCTCAAGACACCATCTGAGATGCTAGAAGATAATGGCATAGAAAGTTATTACAAATTGTGTCAAAAGCCACATTGTGCAATGCCAAAATTATAAGAGAAGTAAGAGTTTGTTAACAATGAAGGTTTAAGAACGTAGCACGGCCTTGAAATTTTGTGGCCCCTACCAACTATATGGGGCCTTATGATACACTTTATGAATTGATGTAAAATTAAAAGCATTAACGTTATGAGGTCCCTCACCTATGCAGGACCCTAGGAAGTGCCTATGCCGCCTATAGTCAAAGTCAGGTCCTGAAACCAAGCCACACTAGTACTCGATAAAAACCAGTTTTGCTTCTAAAACAATATTCCAAGTCTGAACACAAAGGATCCCATAAGAAAACATGCGTTTCTTATGTAGAAAACATGGGGATTAGATCGTAGACTAGCATTTACATTAAAACAGAACAGAAAAAACAAGCTAAATACATATCAATTACAGCTTATGTAGCATGTGAAAAATAGGATAATTCTAATGCTTAGGACTTAGTACTTACCCAAGGAATTATAGAATCAGTAAGTACCATAACTTTTGCTTGCATGTCTTTATCTTTACACAAAGGGGCTTTACCATTTTCCTTCCCCTTGTCAGTTGTCACCCTGTTTTCTTCCCATCCTTTTTACCCCCCACAAATTCAAACCTTAAACGGAGCCTTATCTCAACAATTCAATGTTCAAAACTCCTAATTCCAAACCTGAAACTAAATTTTTATTCATAATTAGGTTCTTAATTTCTAATTTACTTTCATTCCCTCAAAGACTGAAGATTCGTTAGACATTATGGTAAGTGCAGTCTAGAATAACACGATAAAAATGTAAATAAATCACATGGGTCTCAAGTCTCTCAATTACAAGATTGCGAGTATCATGTGTATATGAAAACTTCTCTTTCATAGCTTAAGCAGGGAATGAGAGTGGGAGCAGAAGAGGCATCGAACAAGATTAGTATATATTTCCATTTCCTTTTACAATAATGATTCTCTTAGGCAAGTTGTGGACGGTAGACTGGACGGTGATGGAGTGGGTGGAGAAAGGCGGGCGAGGAGAGCGGGAACGGATGAATGCGAGGAGAGAGAAAAGTTGCACAAGTTTCCTTTTTGAAGAGAGTGTGGGAGAGCACTCGAGGATAGAATGAAACTGGTTTCTTCTGCTTTAGAATCGTATGGAACTTGTAAAGAGAGTGAGATAAAGCATTCAAGGGTCGAATGAAACTGATCATTTCTATCTCATCAAAGTGTCTTCTTTAAGCAATTAATTAATAATGGAATCCACGTGATCAACTGACAAAAGGCTAACTATTAAAAATACGCGGCGCGCTTGAGTCGTACATTTTCATATGACATAGCTAACTATCGATATGTAGAAATGTTAAACAACTTTTAAATTTTTTTTATAGCGATGGTTTTAGTACCTATGTTCAGTCGATTGTGTTCAGCAGATATCTTTATGATACCATTGTCATCATTTAATAACCTTTCTGCAACAAAACTAAATTTCACCTCTATATGTTCCCTTATGCGATTGGCCTGATAATCATGTACGGTGACAAGCATGTTTGGTTTTTTATTTCCTTTCACTAAACAACTGTACTTCGGTTAACACTAGGATGATAAGTCAACAATCCAAACAGTATTTCTTTTTTGACTTTGTTTAGGATGGCAGACATGCCGTTAACTCGAAATATGGAAGTATATCTATGTAAATCTAGCAAGTCAAAAGCCCGTTTAGTCGCGACAATAATTTGTTGTTCTGAAATACTGGAGATGTTTCCTATTTCTCTAATTATATGTATAGGTGAAATATTGTTCACTAATCATCAATTGTTACACAACTTTGATGATCGTAGTGCCGTAGTGGTATCACCAAACAAACGTATGATGCATAACAGCATAAGCGAGGTTAGCCTCAGCTCCAAGTAATAATATTTTATTTGAAGTTATAATTCAGACATGCTACATCACGTCCTAAGAAGTTCTCTAGTTAGAGCAACTCGAAAAGATTCATTTTGTTTGGAGTTTTAATTCCTTTTACGTCATAATAGGTGGCTAGTCAAGAAAATGCATAAGGTTACAACTTAATATTCTTCCTTCTATCGTTTGTTGATTTATTTGTGGACAAAATAATTACAATAAAGCAACAATTACAAAGTGGGTTTTGGCGACCGAATTGGTAACACCAAACATAGAGGCCAATTGAAATAATTATATAAGAACAATTCAATTATAAAGTAATTATACATTATTTAATGTAATTGTTTTTCCAAAGTTTAATCAAATTTGCCTATAATCCCAAATCTTGTGTAAATCGTGTCACGACCTTATTGATTTCTACTAGGATTCATGCATGCATGCATGCAGCAGGAAAAATATAGCAAATACTCCTCTTATCAAGTTTGGACAAATAATAGATAAGGATTTAGACCTATATAAAGCCCCATTGATCATTATACATCACCATCATTTTTTAATCAATATGCCTCTCTTGTTTTCTCCTTCAAACATGAAAGATTTTGACCTTGCTTGGACAGCTCTCTTGATATTAACGCTCTAATCTTTATATTATATTTACATATATTATTTTTATGTGCATCTCGAAGTAGAATAGACTCGATTGTTAAACCGTCCAATACCATATCAGTTGGGTGTGGCTTCAAGGTTGTTAAATACGAGAACAAGGTAGAAGCAACCAGACAGAAGCACGAGTGCTCTATCTGTCCATCGGGTGTCTTCCAGCTTGCAACCACATATTTCACATTAATTGCATAATTTAAACCAACGGCTAGTTCGGTTGTTGTCCATTGTGCAGTTTCTGTTTTTTCTAATTATATGTATGGGTGAAATGTTGTTCACTAAGCTTGACGGTTTTGTTGATCGTAGTGGTATAACCAAAGAAACGTATCGCACAAAATCGAGGTTAGCCTAACATATTTTAACTGGAGTCATAATTCATGCTACATCACAAGAAGTTCTCTGGTTAGAGTAGCATGTTATAGGAAACAAAAAGCTTCATTTTGTTTGGAGATTTAATTCCTTCTGCATCATAGTGGTGATATGCAGAAGGTACAACTTAATATTCTTACTTCTATTGTTTGTGGACAAAATAATTACAATAAAGCATTAATTAACCGTATTGGTTAGAGGCCAATTGAAAAGCAAGGCCTCTTGATACTTAGCTCCAAATAGTATTATTGTTTTTGGGGCTATAAATGATGCGTTCATATGTTCCATGCTGTGATCAACTCGAGAGGGGAAAAGTGTACTTCACTTGTTTTCTTCGTTGGCATTCTGTTCGTAGATGAGTTGAGAAAGCAAACCGACTAAAATAATCCCGAGAACTGCGGCTTTCCGCCAGTCGGATGGATCGATTGAGGCTTCAATGATGCCAATGACTACTAAGCCAATCAGTGCAAGGTAAATGTTCCTTCTAGTTACTGAACCAGCATTCTTTTTGGTAAGCTCCCTGATTTTATCTGTTTCTTCCTTGGTTTTTTCTACTTCAATTGGTGTTTTGGGTTTCAAGTTTTTGAAGAACAGCCCTTCATTTCTGTCTCTATGAATTTGGTCTTCAAAGTCTGTTACCGTTTGTTCATTCTTCTCAATCTCCAATTTGTTCGACTCCGCAGATTCTTCAAAGGCTTGCATCTGGCTCTCAATATTTTCCATTATCTGCTCAACAAATGAACAAAATCCAGTTATTGATAGATGGAATTTCCTAAAAAGTCTGCTTTTCTACGCATTTTATAAAAAAGTAGTTCGACAGACCCTGGCTCCGGCTTCATCCAATTCTCTGAGGGCATTTTCTCCTATCTGGTCAATTTCAGCATTGGCTTCTTCAGCAAACTGGGTCAGATATTCTGATCTTTCGTCCAAGTAATCAGTGAGACGGACTTTTTGGGTTTGAAGCATTGCAATTCTGGCAAGAAGCTCCTGCTTACGAGTATCTCCTTCAGGTGCCTTACCCTCTGAATCTGAATTATCCGAATCATTGGACTTGCTGAGGGACAGGACAACCCGTCGTCTCTGAAAGTACTCTCTTTTGTGGACAAGATGATGGATAGGAGTGAACGATGTTTGAATTGCTTTAAGAAAAACCATAGTCTGTTTTCGCTTTGTTAGCAGAGTTGAGAAGGGGATTCAGTTTCACATGTACAATGGATACGTTTTGGACCTCTCACTAGACTTTGCCTTATCTTCTAGTTTGTATTTATATATTCTTGAAAGGGAAATAAGTGATTCATAGCACTTGGACAACTTATACTAGTTGGAGTTAAAAGTACAGATTCAACCTTGACAAATTAAAAAGATTTCTTATTTTAAAATCTACTTATTCACTTTTAAGTAAACTTTTCAAGCTTACCCAAACATTCTTATCTTCCCTACTTGAATTCTACTAAGAAAGCTCTTCTGTGGAGCTGTAAGCTTGGCCTCAAAAGATAGGGAGTAGACAAGACTTTGTTCTTGTTTGGCGAAAGTAATTTAATTTAAGTGATTATAAACTATGAGTTCTCCAAAATATGTAGATAAATAGCACATCTGACCTGCTCAATTATTAACCTAAGCTTTCCCAAACATGCTCTCTATCTTTAGCACACTTGATGTTAAAGGAACAATAGTTTCAAGAACAGAAAAATTAAGCAGAAATTAACAATAAAAATTATTGGATTAAGAAGGAAAAACACTTCCCCTCTGTATTCACAAATTTTCATCACATGGTAATAAAGCATAAGAAGCGCTAAACAATAACCTAAATAATAGATGAACTCAATCAACAAGGTTTTCCAGTGACCTTCTTGTAAGTGTAGAACTTTGCAATCAACAGATACACCAAGAAGTTGATTAAGCTGAGGATGGCCAATAACCAATAGAAGTAGTCGAGATGGCCCCGGTTCAAGTTATCTGGAATCCAACCAAGTTTCCCGTCTCTTGTGGTAATGTCGGTCACAATCGTCACTAAAAGAGTACTCAGGTAGTTACCTAATGCAACCGTCGTGAGAGAGAGAGCCGAGCACAAGCTTCTCATCGCATCAGGTGCCTGGTCATAAAAGAACTCCAATTGGCCAATGAATGTGAAAACTTCTGCACATCCAACCAGAAAGTACTGAGGCACTTGCCAGAAGATTGACATGGGGATTGTTTTACGATCATAGTAATTATTTCTTCTCACATAGTCAAGCCTAATAACCTCTAGTGCACCCGAAACGACCATGGCAAAAATCGAGATGACAAGTCCAATGCCCATTCTTTGGAGCTGGGTAAATCCGCGTTCATGGCGAGTGAACTTCCTTACAACCGGGATGATTATTTGGTCGTAAACGGGCACCCAGAAAATGACACTGACTGTATCAAAGAGAGAGAGGGATGCTGATGGGATTTCAAAATGAGGGCCAATATGTTGGTCCATGGTGTTGCCTTGTAGAACAAACATTGTGCTCATTTGACTGTATACAGTTGCAAAAACTATTCCAGATGCCCAAACGGGAAGAATCCTGACTATCGACTTCAGTTCTTCAACTTGAGTAACGGTGCAAAGTCTCCAGGGATCCACCATACCTTTGACATTGTCTGTTCCAGTCTCCACCGCAGCCTTATCAAAGAACCTAGAATTTAATGTGTTCAATTTAGTGTGGAGTCAAAAACTTTGCAAGTTTTAGTAATTCTTGATTTTAATATAACTACCTGAACTTCTCAGTGTGCTCAAGTTTGCGGCTCCCTTGAATGTTAGATTCCACATCGGGAGTTTCATATAGGAGAGACTTGTCAGATGGAACTTTTACGCTATGTTTTCTCATGGATGCAACCAACACCTGAAAGATTCGTGTGAGGGGACTCCCTCCGGGTTTTTGGAGCCGATACAGATGACTCCCCGAGAAGAAAAACACAACTGCAATAGCCATAGCAACTGTTGGAACCCCGAACCCCCAACTCCAGCCCACATGCATTTGTATCCATACCAAAACTGATGAAGCAATAAGAGCACCGATATTAATTGACAGATAAAACCAATTGAAGAAGGAGCTCTTCTTTTTCCTCTCGATTTCATCAGTTTCATCAAACTGATCTGCGCCAAAGGAGGAGACGCACGGTTTGATTCCACCAGTTCCGAGTGCAATAATGTATAGTGCTGCAAAAAAGACTGCAGCTTGTGATCCTGTTGAATTACAATTGCCCTTAATACATTCAGGCTTTAGCCCGTGGACTGAAGCAGACAACGTTAGGAGTGTCATTCCCTGAAATAACAAAATATTTTGGTGAATTTCCTCAGAAAAATTAACCTGCTTGACTGCACAATATCTCTCAATCAAGAATATAATTCAAAGTCGTTATACAAATAACAAGTGTATTATTGGCCCCAATCAAACATGTCGCAGGTATGGTTATCCCAAACATGGTACAAATATGATAACAGAGGATCCCCAAGAACTAGAACAAAACATTCATAGTGAAATCAAATTAGTATTTTGAAGACAACGAGAAATACTCACTATAAGATAAATGATTACGAAAATGGCAATTGTCCAGTATCTTCCGAGGTAGGAATCAGCCAGGAAAGCTCCAATCAGTGGTGTGATGTAGCAGGTTCCCGACCAATTCGTAACATTGTTTGCTGCAGTCACATTCGATTGGCCAAGGCGTAAATTGAGATAATTCACCAGATTAGTACTCATGCCATAGTATGCCAACCTCTCAGAGCATTCATTTCCTAGTCGAATAAAGTTTCAATTACGTTAATAGAAATTAAATTACTCGAACAAATTATACTTACACCTTGTATAGAACTAAATAGAAACCTTACCAAGGATAAAACGGCATGCCTTCCAATTTCCAGTTTTCGTCTTATCAGCAGGCTTTTTATGGATATCCAGTGTTCCATCATTCGTATAGATGCTTTCATCTCCCATGGCAGTAATCTATCAAGCCTTCGACTCAATAATGTCACTCAACACTCTCTCTTAAAGTGTTAACGATGCACCTGCATAAAAATGATCAGAATTAAAGCAATTACCACCTCATATCTGTTCTTGAATAACACAAACTCATTAAAATCCACTTCTATCAGATTGCTCTAATATAGAACTCTATTGCAAGTTGTGTAGATGAAAACAATAAAATATGACGTAGTTCGACAACTTAGTCATTCCATATCTTCGATTATTAATTGCGTAATTGACGTTGACCCAAAAAATTACTCTATTCTTCCCCATCTCTCTTTGGATCCATTATTCAAAGATTGCTCCTGCCGTGTGTACACACAAACACAGCTGGCATAAAAAATAAAGAAAATGTAGACAAACAGAATATACTCATCAAATGAAGAATCAAGAATGTGAAAACGAATCCACAAATTCAACCTTCAATAAACGGTCAAGATTCATTGAAAACCAACAACCAATTTTTTATCCGGATAACGTAATCAGTCAGAAGAGTAAATTTCGTGATAATGATCATTATTCATATTTATAATACAAGTATTCTATAAAGTAATTTGAACTTGATAGAGATCTCCATGAATTCATTACCCAGATCTTTGAAAATTTTGAACAAAAAAGGCCATAAAAACTGTAAAGTCCCCAAGAAAACAGAAACAGACAATAATACTCATTATAAAGGAATCAAGGAGAAGATAATATAGTATTTTAATATTCAGTGAAAAATTAGGCATACCTTTTGATAAAAAGGACAGGATCAAACCTTGAAGAAAAGAAGTTTGGTTGTGGGATCTCGTCAAAAGATAGGAGTGCGAATCCTTAGCCACTCATAGGGTGTATGTATATTTTTCACCAATGGAAATACTATATGATATTATGGAATAGAGCATGGTTTATGCAAGGAAAAATAATTAAAATTAATGAGATTATAATTAAGATGGGTGACAGTGATAATAAGTGAATTGTAATTGCAAATGTGTGGTTGAAAGTTCAAACAAAAGAACTATATATAATCTTTACCCTTGAACTAAACTTCATCCTAATTAAGTTTTCAATTCTGTTTGTACAAAATCTCAATTATAGCAAGACAGCATATGTGAAAAAAATGTCTACCCGACGAGTTGGTTTTTCTTCTGGACATGGTCCGGTTCGATTCGATTCTCTTTAGAATTGAACCGATTCAAAATTTTTGGGTATTTAATAAATGGAACATTCGGGTCCAAACATAATTATGGAACCTTTCGGTTCGGTTCGGTTCGATTCCATACCATAATTAAATTTTTTAACATTTATAACAACACTACATAAATATAACTAATAACATGTTCATTCGTAACTATTACAAATTAACGTAACCCAATTTAAAAATATATAAATAACAAGCCGTCCAATAAAAGTAATTCAATATATACAAATACCAAAAAGTAGATATTAATACTAAAACATCGGTGATCCATATCAATAATTCATTTCTTCAAGCAGCCTACATAAAAAAATGAAATATAAATTAAAAGTTATAAAAATAAAATATTTTTAAGTGTTGGTAATACTTACCAACTATTTGATTTAATCATCAACTGATTGACTTGTCATAGTAAGAAATTCTATAAGCATAATTGAAAAAATTAATTTGTTTAGAAAAAATTAAAATTCTTTAATTAATTTAATATACAAAATTATTTAGATTTTATTATTATTCGATTCTTCGGTTCTTCGGTTCTTGGCTTAGAACCGAGAATCGAACCAAACCTATCGGTTCTTGATTCAAATATCCGTTCAAGTATTTAATTTATAAAGAACCGCTCGATTTGGTTCGGTTCAAGACTTTTGTCCAACCCTAGTTTTTCTAAAGAGTAACCCTAGCGAGGCTACAAAGCATTACTCTTTTCTAAACCATGGGATTAAACTTAAACGATACATAAACATTAACATGTGTTTCAATATCATACATTAATTTAATTTCTAAACCACCACTTTAAACTCAATTTTTTTTTTTTAATCATTCTCATTTTGTGAGAGTTTGATCTCCGTTATATTTAGAAGAACATATTTTCTTATATTAATTTTTTTTAAAATTCATTTTCACAATCACACGTTTTATATCACTCACAATTTTTATTAATTTTATAGTCATATATATAATCAACTTTTATCAAAATCTACTAAATT